AGTGAGTGAGTGAGGGAGGGAGGGAGGGAGGGAGGGGGGAAGTGAGTGAGTGAGTGAGTGAGTGAGTGAATGAGTTAGATAGAGGGGAAATTGAAAGAGGGGGGTGGGGGTGGAGTTAGAGAGAGAGAGAGTGGGAATAGAGAAAAAGAAACAAACAAACTGGAAGATACAGGATGGGAACTTCTCAAACCTTCAGGAAGGTAGTGGCTGGCAAGAATGCCGTGGTACTAGATGGATAGTTGGGTGGGGTGCTTTTTGCCGCTGCAAACTGGGCTAATTTAGCTCTTGGGAGAGTTAACAGTAGATGAAAGGCAGCACAGGAGTCGGAGGAAATGAGCAGAATTAAGATAGTGCTCACGAGCTAAGGGTGCGCGTGTGTGGCGAGGATGGGGAGCAGTATCTTCCTGTCTTATTTGTTGGTGAGTTGTGGGTGTTTCAGTGTGGTGTATGCGGGGAGAGGAGTTTTGAGAGAGGTTGGGGTTGGAATTAGAGTTGGAGGAGGGAAAGAAAGGTTTTTAGAGGTGAGTGTACAGGGGGGGAAGTGAGGGGAAGTGTGGGGTGTGAGGGGTAGCGTGAGGGTGAGAAAACGTGCCCCACCTGCTCTGACGACCCGCCTCTGGCTTGCCCGCGACCCAAGGTCAATGTCCGACACACTTGCCAAGTCCTCCGGCACTAGGCCTCCAACTGAATATTTCACTTCCGATGTGATACGTAAATAACAACGATATTTCAGTCACAACTATTTTCTTTGTTTGTTTGGTTGATTGGTCCCTTGCTAATTAATATTTATTATTTCACTTTCCTTGTCTTACCTTTCTTTCTTTATTTGTTTTCCTTGACTATAGGCCTTGGCTCAGCTAAATTCTGACTGGGTCAACAATAACTTCAATTTAATAAGGATATGAAAGCTTCCATGGTTACAGAAATTAAAGATTATATTGTCATTGTCTGAACCCGATAGTCCACTATTTTTACTTATTCTTTGATAGTTGAGGAACCAGACATTTAAAAAAAGAATTCTTTTATCATTTCAGACTTTAAAGCACAGTTTCAAAGCACGTAACAACAAAGTGAATAAATATATAATAACAATTATGCACAATATTGTAGACACCGTCACAGCGTTTCAAAACTGGAAACACGTTTTCAATTATTTAATTACAAGCACCACAGTCAACGCCGACAGAAAATAAAGTTGCCTCTCCTCACAAATAGAAACATCCTATACACTTTGTTCCGTACTCATGAATCTTCATCGCAGCAGAACTCACGTCACTGTCTGTGTTTACAGCTACACTGCTCATCTCGCTCAGCCTGACAGGTAGATAGAGAAATGAAACGAATGAAATTATACAAGTCGAGACGAATTCCTGTCCACCAACCGATTACGAAATGAAACGGGGCGCACTCAAAGAGACTGCCTGAAGTTCTTCTACAACGTTATAACATCGCATCATGAATATAAAACAACATCCCTCAGGTGAAAGATGGGGGGAGACGGTAAGCAAGCAAGGTAAGCTCCCTTTCTCCAACTATTCGTCCGCGAGAGAGGTCCGCTCGATACTCAAAGCAAAGCAGACATCTAGTTTCCTTCCAGTTGATAGCAGTACAAAACACGCTCCTCACAGGAGGGAGCTCAGAATGTATTTACCCCCACCCCTTTTCTCCCCC